TATATATATATATATATGTATATATATGTAATTCTATATATAATATCTATACTAATTTATTTTGATATATTATATTTATTTATATAATTATAGATATATGGTATATATAAAATATATATTTTTTCCAGACCTAGTTGTCATGAAAACACTAAGTGAACGTTGGTTCCATCACCAGCATCACCTTTTCCCCCTCAGTGCCCGCATTGTGCTGTACAGCTCATGCCGCTCTAAATGCCTGAGGTTTTTTTTCTTCTGCTGCAGCAACTAAATAACAGCAGCAAAAGTGAAATAAAATAAAAGATGCCCAAACCTCTGGTTTCAAACCCTCATCGGTTCCATGTTCTTTTCCCTGGTCCAAGTTAAGGGTTTTTTGAATGATTCCTGCGTAGTTAATTTTGCTCTCGGGTCTCTATATCCGCTGTTGAGTTAGTAACTTGCAGGGATCTGCTCTTCACTGTCTTGCTTTTTGCAATCCCTCTGAAGCCTGGTCCTAATTTAACAGGATTAGGTGTAGGGAGTGTGAAACTTGCCGATTCCTTCCGAAATTGACAAGGGCAGAAATGTTACTTTCTCATGAAGGTGATTTCTGTAAATAGAATGATTCTTGTTAAACTTACTACTAGCACGCTGAATATGGCACTTGGCAATACATAAGAGGAGTAGGAAGGTGGATAGCCACAAAAAAAAATGGCTGGCATAAGCAAGAGCTGTTTTTTTTATATATATACACGGGGTGTATTTGGCATAAATTCTAAGGTAAACCATTAAAAAAATACACTCTTCAATGTGATCTGTGACTCTGAAAGCATTACTCTGTAACTAGATATCCAGAAGGACACTTGGTAATTTTTTTTTTCTCCTATCAGCTCTCCATCCCTCAGCGCCTTGCAGTTTCAATGTATTTTGGGTCTCTGCTGGTTTAACCCGTGGCAAAACATCAGATAAAAAGTCAGCTAGGACTGTCCCCTGAAGTGTGAATCTCTATCCTCATGCTGGCGCATGGCAAAATCTCCAGAGGTGGATGAGGCAGGAGGCAGTATGGAAGAACCGTTATTGTAAACTCTGTTACCCAAGTCGCAGTAGCCGTCAAGCTTGAGACGAAATGGAGATTTCTGCATGTACAAGACAAGAGAGTTAAATAGCAAAGGAATATATATATATGTGTATATATACACAGTAGTGTTATTGACGTCTAATAAAAGATGGTATGTCTTTCTACAGGTGCACACACTTCTGGGTACTTTGGAGCCCACCTTGGCAGAGCTCAAGGGATTCATAATTGAGGGACCCAGAGGGTCACAGGTGAAAATAGAGCAGATTTCCAAGGAAAATTTCTAAAGCCGCTTCAGCAAATGGACTGATTTGGCATGTCTGAGTGCCCAAAATGCCATATACTGAAACATCAGGTCCACTGACTACTAGGTAATGTAGGAGGAATATATTGTATATAAGGGTAGTATTACCCCAAGAGGAGGGGTAATACCAGGCACTTTAGGGCAGGCAGTGAGAGAAGGAGCCAGCTGCATCACACAGCTGCCAAGTCTTCATTTTACGCAACAAAATTGACCGAAATCTCTCCTCCATCTAATTTTACCTTCATATCTTGCATCCTTCGATCCCACAGTCTCCCCTGTTCTCCTCTGCTCCCTAATAAAAAATAAAATCTCTCCCTCTCTCCCCTGCTCCTCCTGATAACTTCATCCATCTCTAGGTAAGGAGTAGGTGTCCCAGCAGCTGCTTAGTGTGGGAGAGCTTTTCTCAGTCACACAGTCCTTGTCCCCCTGAGCTGGGTTATTGCAGCGCAGGGATCCTCTGTGCCTCGGTCCCTGTGAAAAAAAAAAAAAAAGGTGATAAAGATAATTGCTGAAGTTGTTAGAAATAAAATTGCGTTCATCCATGAAGCATGAATTAACTAAAATAACACTCCCAAACAAGAAATCCTAGCCAGGCCTTTTTCTGTTTCCTCTAATGTTCTCCTCTTGTTAGGGCACAGCTTGTCACTTAGGAATGAATTAGCTCTGAAATTCACCTGCAGGCACCAGATGTGCAGTAACTGCCTTTGATTTACTCTCTAAGCCCAGATATTTCTTAGCTGCTAAACACCACAATGTTCTTTACATTAAACCCACAAATCTGTAATGTTTCCTGCTTCAGGAGCCAGCTTCTCTCCTGTGACACCGCTTACCGGGAGCGCTTGTTTGCAGGAGGGAGATCTGCTCTCCGCTGCTTTGCGCTGCGAATGAACGCGGTGCCTCGCGCCAGCATTCACATCCCTGCTCATCGAAACACTCAAATGCTATTCAACTCTTTATATTGAAGCAGGAAGGAAAAAAATAAAAGGCTATCAGACATTTAGAGCGCATTTTCTAACCAAAGTATGCGCTCTGTTAATTAAATTGTTGTAAATCAGGCAGGTCAGTACCAAGGGGGAAGATGAGGCTACACTAGGGCTCTTACAGACCCATGTCCATGGTTGCAGGGAGGTCAAGAAAAGAGTTTGTGAACTGGAAAAAACAGTAACTTACCTGTGCTCTGGCTCCCAAAGGTAATTAATGAGGCAGAGCCTTGTCGAAGGCATCCGTAAATGCTCAGAGGAAATATTGAGCTCTTTTACGCTTTCAGATCAGATCTCTTCCAGCAATATCTAGAACGTCTTGCCTCAGTTGCAAGCACCACTGATCAGCGTCGTGGGCACACTGGTGATTGTAGAGAGGCTACATATTTACAGGATGGGGCTAGGGGCTAGAAATCACATGTCTAGAGAAAGCAGACCCAGTATCCAGTGCAAGATGCTAAGCTACGCTGCTTTAGTAAGCACTCTGAGTTTTCTAGTCTAAGTTTTCTTTCATTTCCAGAACAGCTTCTGGCACATCCATCAAGTGAAATAAAACTTAAGCAAGATCTCCAGCTGATTTTAGCATACTCATGGTGCATATTTTCTCAAAGTGCAGGTAGGGAATTGG